AATAAAGCGAGCGATTGAATGATTTCTTTTTTAGAGCACTGCCTCCTGCTGTCTACGCCGGTTTTGATCCTACCGCTCAAAGCCTCCACATTGGCAATTTATTAATTGTAGTTAACCTCTTGAGAAGTGCGCAGTTTGGTGTGCGGCCAATTGCTATCGTTGGCGGCGCTACTGCAGCAATTGGAGACCCGAGTGGAAGGTCTACTGGTTGGTGAGCTATTTTGCTGCCTTTGCACTTTATCAACAAAAAATAGTTTGATCCTAATTCATATTCATGAATAAATAAACAAATAAATATTAGAACGTGAGGCTCAAGACAAGGATCAATTGGTGGAAAATACTGAGGCGATTACCGTTCAGTTGAAAAACATTGCTTGTAATGTACTGAAGGAGGAAATCACGGTGGTTGACAACAATGAGTGGTTCAAGGAGGTGCGTGATTATTTCTTCTTTGTTCCACTTGATTCCATGTCCCCGTGTTCTGGCTATTGTAGTTCTTTGCCTGGGTCTTCCTTAATATTTATTATTAGTTCAGATGTCAATGGTGGATTATTTGAGAAATTGTAAGCAACTACGCGTCGGTGAAATGCTTCGGATGGGAGCTATAAAGGCCCGCTTAGAGGACAGTGGAATTTCCTTCACAGAATTCAGTTACCAGACGATGCAGGCGTACGATTGGGCCATGATGGTGAAGAAATATGACTGCAGGTTTCAGGTTCTTTATAGAAATTTTGTGACCGTTGTTATAGATTTGGTTTAACTACATGTGTCGATACCAGAGCGGAGCACAGCATGCATGAAATTTCATCTAGTATTGCGAAGCCGTTGTGTTTGCACCGTATGTACCATGGCTCTCATTTTCTGAACATTGCTATTCCCAAATCAGAGATCTACTCCCTTTATAGTGCTGAAGACGTGGAACAGAAAAGCAGCAATCTCAGTGAGATGATGGATGTTGAAGCAAGGGTGCCTAAGTGGTCTCTGAAAAAATTCAGAGAAAAGGGTAGTTCTCGACCCTTCTCTTGCCTGTTGCTATCAGAAATTTGCGAGTTTAGCGTTAACATTGAGGTCGTCACGGTGGATATGGCTTTCTGCCGACAACGATTGTTAAGCAATTACTGTTCCAAGGTTGTGCTGAAGTTCCTTAGATAAGAAAATTGAGCTACTAGGGAAACGGTTAAATCTCAAGTACATTGCCGTTATTATCCTTTCATATGAGGCCGTGAGCGTGTCCGAGGGCTGTTGAGGCTCTGGCTGTTGCGCTCTTGCTCGACGTGCTCGTCAACAGTTTGTTTGAGTACCATGGTTGTTTGATTTCAGATTGGTGGCTCTGACCAGTTGGGTCACTTGGATATTGGTGCTCATTACATCAAAAGAACATGCGAAGGGACATTTGCGGCAGGTGCGTAGCTGATTTAGATATTCATGGTGTAGCTGATTTAGATATTCATAAAGTCGAACCCTTTCATGGTTTCGTAAATTATATATGCCGAACATTCCAGGTGTTTGCTTACCATTGGTGACAGATAGTGCTGGAAATAAGTTGGGGAAATCAGAAGGTGGAGGTGACGTTTGGCTCAGTGCAGAATTGACATCGCCTTTTCACTTTTATCAATTCCTTCGTCAGCTACACGATACAGAAGCTGAGCAAATGTACAAGCAATACAGGTGCCAATATTTTTCTATGTCAGTTCTAATTTGTTATTACGAATGCGGTTAGTAAACATGAAGAATTTAACAGTTGCTCCCTTTCATGAAAGCATAAATGTAAGCATAACTGAAACGTAATTTCAGTTTGGCTCCATGGGAAGATGTGCTGCAGAAGGTCGACGAACATCGTTCAAATTTGGGGAAATGGATTGCACAGGATGCGCTTGCTACTGAGCTCACTCAGGTCGTGCACGGAGACGAAGGATTGCGCACTGCTCAACGGTGTTCTAGAGCACTCTTTCAAGGTTATTTTTACAACAGTAAGTTCGTGTCTATGACGGGAAGGGTCTATAGAGATGACTTCGCTGACTCTCTGTTGTTAAGCAGTAACTGCATTTGATTTTCATCTTCGACAAGTCCTTTTTT